GAGATCCTTGCCCTACAGAAACATAATTGAAGATATTTCTATTTCTCTCCAAGTTGTATTATGACACCTAAGCATTGTTACTGTGTAAAAAGTAAATATTTTGACTCCAAATTAGATAATTTTAAAAGCTCTTCTGGATTTATACATCTGATTTTTTTTAACATAGGTCTAAATTTTTTTTTTTTATGATATACTTGAACATTGATAAAGATGATTTAGTGAAGTGGAATTACTTGCTATGGCTCTTCTACCCATAGTATTTATAACTCCCATCCAGAGTCTGGGCAGGTGCATGCAAATAATATATAGAGGTCTCAAAATAGGGGATTGATCATTATTATCATTCTGCTGGTTAAAAAATGAGCCATCTCAGAAGCAGCAACAGAGGAATCCCATGACATCAAGAGAGAAGAGCCATTAACAAACTGTGCTTGTTAATCTGTTTTGAAGGGGCAGAAGCACCAGAGTCTGCAGTTCTGAGACCAGGAGACAGAGCAGAGGAGTCATGCTGAGACTGTTAGACAAGAGTGATGGATTCCTGGCCTCCAGAATGAGTAAAGCGGAGTGCCTTCAGGCAGGAAGCTGGCTTTCAGAGTGGAGTAACTTTGGGGCATGTATCAGCTCTAAAAGAGCTTTGAAACATTTGCTGTAGCAGAACAGAGGCCGAGTCACACATAGCTGAGAGGCTGAAGAACAGAGAGAGATATGCCTGCTGGCATGGCTGAGAAGTGCTGCATCTTTTTTTATTATTATTATTTTACTGGGGGCTAATACGATTCTTTTTTTGGGGAGGGCTTGTACAATTCTTATCACAATCCATACATACATCGTGTCAAGCACATAGGTACATTTATTGCCCTCATCATTCTCAAAACATTTTGCCTTTCACTTTAGCCCTTAATATCAGTTGCTCATTTCCCCCCTCCCTCATGAACCCTTCATAATTCATAAATTATTAGTTTTGTCATAAGTTACACGTCCAACATCTCCCCCTGCCCTCTTCTCTGCTGTCCATCCCCCAGGGAGGAGGCAATACCTAGATTCTTGTAATCGGTTCCCTTTTCTACCCCACATTCGCTTCACCCTCAAGGCATCAGCCCTCTCATCACTGATCCTGAAGGAGTCATCTGTCCTGGATTCCCTGTGTTTCCAGTTGTTATCTGTACCAATGTACATTCTCTGGTCTAGCCAGATTTGTAAGGTTTGGGATCATGATAGTGGGGCGGTGGGGTGGAGGAAGCATTTAAGAACTAGAGGAAAGTTATATGTTTCATCGTTGCTACCCTGCACCCTAATTGGCTTGTCTCCTACCCAAACCCCTTCAGTAAGAGGGTGTCCAGTTGCCTACCAGTGAGCTTTGAGTCTCCACTCTGCACTCACCCACCTTTACAATGATATGATTTTTTGTTCTTTGATGCTTGATAACTGATCCCTTCGACAGTGGTCACACAGGCTGGTGTACTTCTTCCATGTGGACTTTGTTGCTTCTGAGCTATTTGGCCGCTTGTTTATCTTCAAGCATTTAAGACCCCAGACGCTGTATCTTTTGATAGCCAGGCACCATCAGCTTTCTTCACCACCTTTGCTTATGCACACATTTGTCTTCAGTGATCGTGTCAGAAAGGTGAGCACCCACTGATAATTTTTTTTTTGATGTCTGATAACTGGTCCGTTCTAAACCTCGTGATCAGACAGGCTGGTGTGCTGCTTCCATGTGGGCTTTGATGCTTCTCAGCTAGATGGCTGCTTGTTTATCTTCAAGCCTTTAAGATCCCAGAAGCTATATCTTTTGATAGCTGGGCACCAGTAGCTCTTTTCACCACATTTGCTTATGCACACTTGTGTCTTCAGTGGTTTTGTCAGTAAAGCGGGCACCCACTGATATGATTTTGTTCTTTGATGTCTGTTAACTGATCCCTTCTACACCTCGTGGTCAGACAGGCTGGTGTGCTTCTTCCATGTGGGCTTTGTGGCTTCTGAGCTAGATGGCCGCTTGTTTGTCTTCAAACCTTTAAGACCCCAGACGTTATATCTTTTGGTAGCCGGGCACCATCAGTTTTCTTCACCACATTTGCTTATGTTCACATTTTCTTCAGCAATTGTGTTGGGAAGGTGTGCATCCTGGAATGCCAAATTTAATAGAACTGGTTCTTGCATTAAGTAAGTGCTTGAGTGGAGGCCCAATATCCATCTGCTGCCTTAATGCTAAACCTATAAATATATGCACGTAGATCTGTTTCCCCACACTCTTATATAAATATATTTACATATGTACATTCTAGTCTTAAAACGTCTATAAATACCCTTTGTCACCTAGTTCTTTCCTCTATTTCCTTTTACTTTCCTCTTGTCCCACTATCATGGTCAGCCTTCATTTGGGTTTCAGTGATTTCTCTCGGTTATATTGCCCTTGGTGAATCCCTACCAGGCCTCTCACACCCTCCTTGCCACTGATTTTGGATCCCTTGTTGCTCCTCTGTCCCTGGGTTGGTCAGCACCACCTCCTTACCACCACCTCCCCCTCTCCCGTGTCCCCCTGGAACCATTGGTCCCGTTGTTTTCTCCTCCAGAGTGTTCATCCAGTCTATCTTATCTAGATAGATCTGTAGAGATAACAATATGCATAAAAAACCAAGCCACAGCAAGATAGGCGATCAGTGAGAACACACAGCGATGGCAACAAAAAAAGTAACCAATTACCCATAGCAGAATAAATTAATTAAAAGAAAAAAGTTTTAAACAGAAAGAAAAACCTGTAAATAGATCAAGGTCTGATTTTTTATCTCGAGGCGTGTCCTTTAGTCAGGACCGATGGGGTACCATGCTCTGGCCCCAGAGTCTGTCCTTTGTACTCCCTCGGGGGCTCTCTGCTCTGCCGCACGCTTTTAGTGGTTTGCCTCGGTGTCTCAGGGTCAGTCTGGGCCAGTCCCGACACTGAGTCTCCAGTGTTGTCCCCCTTAGAGCCCAGGGCCATCACGGGGCGGCATGTCTCGTGGTGGGATCAGCCATATTGTCCACTCTGCCCATTAGCTGTTCAGAGCGGATATGTCGTTCTCCAGACCTGGTGGGTCAGGATGTGCTCCACTCTCTCGTCCTCCCCTTAAGTGCTCCCTTTTGCTCTAATTGTACATGCCCCTCTCCCCAAGCTGCAGCTTCAGTGCTGTCCTCTCAAATAAATTCTTCTGGAGGGAGGGGCAGCAAAGTGGTATCTTTACAATGTTTTCTGATCCTGACTTGTGATAAACTGCTAACTTCCTTGATAAACCACCATACTTGCATTGTCTGTGTGAGTCTATGTGGCCATTACAATGGATTATCAAACTCAGCTGAGAAGCAAAGTGTTGTGGGAGGGATAGTCGTATTAAAATAGGATAAAGAAGAATGGACGGGGAGGGGGGAGCAGGGAGGGAGGGGAAAAATGAGCTGACACCAAGGGCTCAAGTGGAAAGCAGGTGTTGTAAGAATGATGAAGTCAACATATGGACTGATGTGCTGGACACAAATGACATATGTACAGATTGTGATGAGTTGTATGAGCCCCTAATAAAATGATTATTTAATGGAAAAAAAAAAAGAATGGAGAGTGGAGGCATGAGTGACCTCTGAGTCATAGACATCATCCTTGGGCATATGTGAAGTTGGATTCTCCGTCCACTCTATATTCCAAAGAGTTCAGATGTGGCACCCAAGCTATTTCCTCAGCTGAATAGCAGGAACATAATTTTATAACAAAAAAGGTGGATTTTCAGAAAACATAACACTGTAATATTTCAAGTATAATATCTATTCACTCTCAGTATTTTCTATGGGGTTAATATATGTCAGATATTGCATAAGAAAAGACAGAAAGGATCTCAATGTAGACCTAGGAAGACAATCAGAAAAGGTTTCTCGGAAGAGGAGATTTCTAATGAGAAGTAACAGTGGGTAAGGTAAAGAAATGGTGAGATGGACAGTCCAGGCAGAGAAACCTAGGCTCTAGAGGTCTACTAGCTGCTAGAATTCACCAGCTTTTGTGGGAGAACGATGTGGCAGTCTGCTTTCATATGGATTTACAGCCTTTGAAACTCTATGAAGCAGTTCTATCCTGTCCTACAGAGACGGAGGGTTTCCATGAGTCCAGATAAAGTCAACAGCAATGGGTAGGATACACAAAGCAGGAAAATAATGCCAAATGTAGAATTCTGTGAAATACCAATACTGAAACTTGTGGTTCTGGAAAGTTCTACATCGAATTATTAATAGTGATAATCATGGAATAACCAATGTGGAGTTTGTAGTTTTCTTCTACAAGTCAAAAGATTATATACAAAATTTCAAAGTTGGCATTGTTTTGGTGTAGGCAAAGACATGAGGATAAAATATACAGAATCTCCAAATGAATAGAATATCTACTTACCTTTTTCTTTTTAAAACCAGAAAATATGTTTTTCTTGGAAAAAATGTTTTGTAAAAAAATATCAAGTATGCAAGGAGAGGGTCCAATTCAGCATGTGGCAACTTCCAGAATGGCTATCTTAGGAGTCAGAGAATTTGCACCATGCTGCATTTAAAGGAATACTTAAGAAAAGTTGTTTGTGTTCTCAAAACCCTCAAAAGAGAATTCTTAATTGATTCAAAAATTGTACTTTGTGAATTTCATGGAGACAAATTTCACACAAAAGAAAGAAAATTTAATTGAATGACTACAATTTTATACTCGAATGGATTGAGCCAAAATTGTCAAAACTAGAACTGTGGAACCTAACTTCTAACACTATCGTTTCTAAAATCAAACATTGTATAAGTAGACTTAGTAGCTCAAGTTTTATGACTTATACTTCAACATAAAACATGTTATGAGGGTGAGGTGTATTGCAATAATCACTGCACAAAAAACAACTCAGGCTTGTTTAACAAACTACTTTCTTTTACAATACAATACTAAAGTAGCTATCTTTTCATTCTGAAAAGTGTAAATGCCCTAATATTATCGAGAAATATGACATTGGTTTCATTACCATGAGCTCGAAGTAAAGCTTCAGCAGTAAATAGTGGAGCCTGAAGCATGTCTGCAGTTTCCACAATAAGCATATCTTTCAATCTGCGAAGATCCTGAGGCCTTAATCCTTCATGTGGCTTTGAAAAAAAAGAAAAAGTTAAATGAGCTGTTATATTCTTAGGAAATATTTAAATGCATATAATCAAGCATGTGAAATTATTAATTTAAAAATTTCTCAGTTTCAACTGGATTATGGAAGCGAGAAAGGTAGTCCTATGTTCCACTGCTAGAGATTTCAAACTCCTCTTTTGCTAACTCTTTTCAGCTGGAGAGTGCAGCCTGGAGATCTTGTGCTGGACCATTCCAAAACAAAAGCGCCACACTATAATGACAGTATCATCATACTGTAAGGTTTTCAAATTCCACATATTCCAAAAAAGCATTAGAACTTAAAACCTATAATCCCATTATTGAGCAATAATCACAATAAAGTCTTCATGTATTTTTACGTAAAATTTATTTAGGCAAATAAATTGTGCATGTTTATTTAGGCAGGCAGTTAAATGATAGAACCAACAAACATTTACCTTTATTAAAAGTTATAAAAATTTACTTTCAACACAACTTTTAAACTATCTTCCCAAAAAAGAAAACTCACTGGAGTTATTAAAGAGCTACCAACAGTGGCTGTGCAGGCAGCAGTGCTATTCTTAAATTCATGTATATTATTTAATTTGAATGTATTCCTTTTAAATAATGATAAAGACAAACTGAACACATTCCATAACAATTTACTGTATGGGGTGGGGGTGGGAGATAAGGAGAGTAAGGGTGTTGGGGGAACAATGTACGCGGCAGGGGAATTTCTAGAAATGATTGTGATTAACCATGAAAAAAAAATGTTTTAAAATTGAAAACACACACACACACGAACCAACAATCTACTGTTATATATTCTATTATACTTACATGAAACTGTACATATATACAGGTATCTCATGAACTTAACTGAAAAAATAAATGAAAATATAATCACACTATCCTATATACTGATGGCATTAATACCAAACATAAAACAAACAAAAATTTGAAATTTTAGCAAAACTATCTTTAGAAAAATCACCAAACATAGCATATACTTTATTTTTAAACTAATTTATGAAACATAAATCCCCCTGCAAAAACCTAGCCCACTCTTACAGTGTTAAATTTGGAATACTCACTGATGGGATTGTAAAATGGTATAAGCACTAAGGAAAATGGTTTGGTACTTCTTCAAAAAGCTAAAAGTAGAAGTACCTTATGATCCAGCAATCCAATTCCTAGGTGTAAATATTGCCTAGAGATGCACAAGCAGTGACACAAATAGACACACAATAGACGTATACACAACTGTGCTCACTGTATCAGGATTCACAATAGCAAAAAGATGAAAGCAAACTAAGTGCGCAGCAACAGATGAGTGGAAAACAACCTGTGGTACATACATAAGATGCAATATAAGCAACCATCAAGAATCATGAGGAGTCAGCAAAACCTAATATGATGAATCTGGAGGACATACGGACAAATGATCTCACTTTTATAAAAAGTAAAGACTGGCTATATATCTAGAGAAAGGGCTATTCTTTGATGGTTACCATTCGTTATTTATGTTGATGCAAGGGGCAATAAGCAATATGGGGGAATCTATATAACTCAAGCGAGGTAAATGAAGACACTAAAATGTGCATAAGAATAGGAACAATTTTGGTAAATGCTGTGTATAACATAATTTTACAGCAATAATGAAAAATGAGTGGTTACACAGGTTAAGTGCATATATACATATGGGTTTCAAAAAGTTCATGGAGAAATTCTGTATAAGCATTGTTCAGTGGGAACCTAACAACCTGCTGTGTTAACTTTTCACTGAAAACACAAAAGATTTTTAAAATAAATGTCTATAGTATTCAATGCAATACAGAGGTTATATACTATTTGTGTACATATAACTTTAACCATTACAGCTGATACTACTCATCTCACACCTCCGCATTGGTTACTGTCAAATTTGTATCAATGCCAAAAATTTCAGAGTTTTTTTACTACTGTCACAAATGTGAAATATTGGATAAGGAGACAGTCAATAAGTAAGGAGTGAATGTATTCTGAATTTAGACTTGAGACTCTATTGCCTCAGCAATAAGAGTGAATACGTTCTGATAGTCTCAATAGTAGTAGTTGCATATTTCTTTATCTACATTTCCTATATGTTGTTATTCACATTATCCATGATTATACCTAATTTGTGTTGAGCCAAATAAATCGAGAGAAAATGGTTAATTTCAACATGATTATAAAGATTAGAATGTTAGAAAGTAACCAATAGAAATTTAAATAGGTTATATTAGAAGAAAAATAGTTCTTGAAAGAGAAAGACAAGCTGCTTTCATGAACATGTAACATATTCACTCCAAATCATTGCAAAAGAACTGTAATTAGGTCAGACGAAGCATTTCAATACATTACTCAGTCCCAAATGGGCACTGGCTCTCTCTTCCACAGGAAAGATTTAATGAAGGTGCCTTTCTCTTTCCTGTTGCAAAGATAAACTGCTTCTATTTTCAGATTAAATACAAACCAGCAATAACCTCCAAAACAGTCAGCACCAATACAAAGAAAAAAGGAAACTAAAAAGACACAGGATATAAAGTACTGCTGTTCTTTTGCACTGTTGCATACTCCTGCTGCTGTAAGACAACTAAAGAAATGTGAAACAGTCAAGCATCTTAGTTTATCTCACACTACTCGGATATAATGATAATTATCTTTAACAGCAAATTCAGAAAAGGCTGACATAGATAAGTTACCGTATATACTCGTGTATAAGCCGAGTATTCAAGCACATTTTTTATTTTTGTTACTTAGGTTTTTATTTTTTTAATCATTTTATTGGGAACTCGTACAACTCTTATCACAATCCATCCATCGTGTCAAGCACATTTGTACATTTGTTTCCATCATCATTCTTAAAACATTTGCTTTCTACTTGTGCCCTTGGTATCAGTTCATTTTCCCTCCTCCCTCCCCGCTCCCCCATGAACCCTTGATAATTTATAAATTATTATTTTAGTATATCGTACACTATCCAATATCTCCCTTCACTCTTCTGTTGTCCATCCCCCAGGCAGGGGGTTATATGTAGATCCTTGTAATCTGTTCTCCCTTTCTACCCCACCTTCCCTCCACCCTCCCGGTATTGCCACTCTCACCACTGGTCCTGAAGGGATCATCTGTCCTGGATTCCCTGTGTCTCCAGTTCCTATCTGTACCAGTGTACATCCTTTGGTCTAGCTGGATTTGTAAGGTAGAACTGGGATCATGATAGTGAGGGGGAGAGGGGAGGAAGCATTTAAGAAGTAGAGGAAAGTTCTATGTTTCATCGTTGCTACACTGCACCCTGACTGGCTCATCTCCTCCATGCGACCCTTCTATAAGAGGATGTCCAGTTGTCTACAGCTGGGATTTGGGTTCCCACTCTGCACTGCCCCTCATTCTCAATGATATGATGTTTTGTTGTTTGATGCCTGATCCCTTCGACACCTTGTGATCACACAGGCCAGTGTGCTTCTTCAGCACGCTTTTAAAGCAGCTTTTGTAGTAAAATTTGGTGCCTCGGCTGATATTCAGGTTGCCTTATACTCGAGTATATATGATATGGTATATGCCAGGCATTGGGCTACACATATACATGTGCTCTTGCTGTTAGGTGCCTCCAAGTTAGTTTTGACTCACAGCAACCCTATATACAATATCATAAAACAATGTCTGGTGCTCTGCCATTCTTATGACTGTTACATTTGAGCCCACTGTTGTAGACACTGTGCCAATCCATTTCCTTGAGGTCTGTAGGTATGATCTCCTTCTCTTAGGACTGGTTCCTCTTGAAAATATGTCCAAGTGATGTGAGGTGAAGCCTCAACACCCTCACTTCCAATTGAGCAGTATGGCTGTCCTTCTTCCAAGACTTACCAAAAAACTAGAAGAGAATATTGTCCCAGGAGCCAAAGGAGAAGAGTATTTCACAAAGAAGGGAGACTTCGCTGTGTTGTATTGCTGAGGAATTCAAGTAATATGAGCAGATAGAAAGTAACAATGGGTATTGGCAACCTGGTGACTCCAGGTGTCCTTGCCAAGTGTAGTTATACATCATAGAAGGGAAAAAATTCACACTAGTGGGCTGACGAGAGCGGAAGGTGAGGAAGTCAGTATGTAGTAAGTTAACTTTTAAGTCTTGCTTTTTTGCATATGAAGATCAGAAACAGGGAAGTGCAGCTGGGTGGGCATAGCTTAGGGATAGGGTATTCAATAGAGAGGTTTTTTAATTTTAAGATGGGAGTTACTAAAGTGTGCCTATAAGGAAAATCCAGAAGAGCGTGAGGAACTGATGAACTTGGGGTTGGAGTCTTACAGCATTAGTAGCGCATAGGATTCATATTTTACATGAGCACCTCTTATATGTAAGCAAACCTTTTTACATATATTGGAAGACTTCCCTTCGAGGTTTTCTAGATCAGTGTTATAGAACTGTCATAGACAAGAAGGTAGTATATTGTGATTAAAAAGATCACACAAACTTGGTTTTAAAGGAAAATACACAAAAACATTTAAAATATTATTACATGTTTTTTTCCATAAGAAAAGTTACCTCTCGTTTGTCTAATGCAGCATATTCAGCTTCTATTTCTTCAGCTTCTGGATCCCGTGAAAATACCATTTGAGATTCCAGATTGAGAGCCAAATCTTTGTGGTGTTGCTTTTCTGCACAGTCACAAGGAGTATCCTTATTTTCGTTCTCAGCAAACAGGTCTCCTCCGTGTTTTACTAGAAGCTAAAAAAGTTTGTTTTTAAAAACTGCAACCATAGATTTAAATGTCTTAATTTTATATAAAATTTAGAATCACCTTAAAATGGTAACATTAGAACAACAAAAACTGCAATAGCACGTACACGTCTCTTGGAGTTTGGGAAGCAATGACCCTTGCATACATAGAATGTGGCTCAGGAATCTGTTATCTGTTTATCACCCAATCTATTCAAGGGGAGTCCTGGTGGTCATTAGTGGGTTACATGTTGAGATGCTAACCGCAATGTCAAGTCAACTGACTACTGGGTCCAACCAGCTGCTCTGTGGGAGAAACATGAGGCTTTCTACACATGTGATGATACAGTCTTGGAACCCCACAAGATTTAGTGGCTCAATGACAGTGAGTTTGGTTTGGGAGTCACATCATTATGGAGTCCTGGTGGTGCTAACTGGGTAAGTGTTATACTGCTAAGTGCATGGGTGACACTTCAAACCTACCAGCTGCTCTACAGGAGAAAGATGAGGCTGGCTGCTCCTTGTAAGGATTTACAGTCTCAGAAACATGAAAGAACAGTTCTACCCTAGAAGGTATCCATGAGTCAGAATCAAATTGAAGGCAGTGGATTTGGTTTTGGTTTTTTAAACCCATTCAATACTGAAGACTTGCAATAAGTCCACAGACTTTTCATACCAAATGGTAATAGCAGGACTTTTATGTTTCCCCCTCGATTCATAAGTAGAGTTCCTATGAAATCATAAAAGAAAGAAACAATTACCTTTAATTTCTATGGGCTACAATTTAGAGCAGTCCCAGACTTTTAAAAAAAGGGGGTGGGGGTGGCTACTAAATTACACCAACTAACACATAAAACCTAAAATAATACTAATATATTGTAAAAGTATACATGAAATGATACACAGACTATATATAAAATAATGTGTACAAAGCATAGTTTCCAGGGAAGGAACTTGCTTGGGGTGTGAGCTGCCTTTAACAGCTCATTGCAAAACAAACACTGCACATTAATTTGACTTTTCTTTTTTTTTTTTTTTTAGTAATAGTGAAATCCTCTGTGGATGTCTTGTTAGTGAAAACTGGGAAAATCCTCTTTAGGTTAACCAACAGGCACTAGTCTTTCGTAAAAGCACAGTGGCATGAAACAAATGTTTGAAAAGCAGAGGAGGCCGTATTATAGTGTTTAGCTTTTCAGCTTCAGATTATTTAATATCTAAAAATCTAAAGACAAAATGAGCTACTTTGCTTCTGACTGCTGCAGAAAAACCAAGAGAACTGACTTTGGTTTTCTATTTTTGGAATTGTAGAAAATTATTTGTAAAATGAATACTAGGATAACTTTCAAAGTCATGATTTATTTTCAGAACATATAAATCATAGGAGATTCTAAACTCTAGTAAAGATGACATGTCATCTTTAAGTTAATGCCTACTTAACAAAAAGCAAAAGCAAAACCTGTTACTATGTCATTCTAGAACCTTGTTAAAAAGGTGTGTATTCAGAATGTGAACACTATACTTCTAGGGGGAAAAGGTGTGTGTGGAAGAGGGGATGGGTGAAAAGTGATGTTGAGAAAGCACTGGCCAGCATCACAGGTAGAGCTGTTTTTCTTTTCTTAAACATTTTATTGATTTGAGTGAAAGTTTACAGAGCAAATTGGTTTTCCAGTGAACAGTACATATTTGTTTGGTGACGCTGAATGTAATTCCCACAATGTAACAGCACTCTTCCATTTCCTCCGTGTTTACCATTTTAGCATAGTCGTCTTTCCTTCCTTTCCTGGCTTCTGAGGAGCTTTATCTTTTGAGTAAATGCTGCCCTTTAATCTTGTATAACACAGTTGATTATATTAGACAGTGTGTACCTTCCTGGTGTTGTTGTTCATTTCATAGGTCTGTCTATTGTTTGGCTGAAAATTGAGCCACAAGGTACAGGGTGGAGAAGAGCTAGTCAGTTCCATCATTCCCTATCAGACAAGTCAGACTGGTCTTTCAGACTTTTGAGTTTGGTTCTACATTTTTGTCCTGCTCTTATCTTGGACCTCCTATTGTGATCCCTTTCCGAGCAGTTAGTAGTGGTAGCTGGGCACCATCTAATTCTGGTCCCAGGATCATAGAAGCAAGGATTCATGCGGCCCATTCATCTTTTGAACTAATTGTTTCTATATATCATTGATATTTTTTCACTTTTCTTTGCTGTAGACTAAAAGAGACCATAGTTGTCCCTTAGATGCCTACTCAGAAACTTTTTTTTTTTTTAACATTTTATTAGGGGCTCACACAACTGTTATCCCAATCCATACACACATCAATTGTGTAAAGCGTATTTGTACATCGTTTCTCAAAACATTTTCTCTCCATTTAAACCCCCGACATTAGGTCCTCATTTTTCCCCTCCCTCCTCGCTCCCCCCTCCCGCATGAGCCCTTGATAGTTTATAAATGGGTATTTTGTCATATCTTGCCCTAAGACCCCAGTTGCTACTCACCAAACAAAGATGGAGAACATGTCTTTGTGCACTGCATTATGGCAACTGACCTTGGTAACTCCTGAGACTAGTTGTGCCAATTGACCTTGGTGTTGTCTGAGAATACAGTCCTCAGGTCAGTGATTTATTCCTTCAAGGTAATGGGTTATGGCTAGAAAGTTTTTTATAACTTTGCTCCCCTCTACTACATTCATGGATATAATTGCAGCACATATAAAAACATATGCAAAATATCATGTCAAATCTCTATATATTCATTAATGTAGACCTATTTGCCTTGCCACTCCTGTTCATCTGAGTGATTATGTACCTATTTATATATTATTGGTATTGCAGGATTGTTTGAATCATAATATTTACCTTGTTGTTTTAATGCTTGTCCTCATCTTGGGGGGGGGGTCTTCCTTTGTACTGACCTACTCCTATTGTACATTGACTTTTCCTTCACCCATGTTAACGAAAAGAGGGCTTCAAAAAATTTGTGGAAAAATAGAATTGAAAGATAATGGAAGTCCTCTCCAGTGTCTACCCTCTAGATAGTGATTTACCATAAGGGGGGATTTCCTGCCTTGATTAGTGATCAGTCTTTGCAAGAAACTCCAAGTGATTTTGAGTGAGGCTTAAAGATCTTTGTCTCAGTGTTGTAATAAGTACTTGTATAGAAATCCATATAATTCCATGGTAGGATGGAGGATCCATGATTGTAGCATTTGCGTCAGCAAGGAAAATCAATGTTACTTCTGGTGTATAAGCTGAATAATGGCGTTATGCCTGACATGAAGAGGTACTTGTTAAAAAGTCATCAGCTTGCTGACCTTTGGGTCATATAGTAGGCACTACCAATAGGTAAAAGATAGATTAGGTGTTAACACCCGCTAAATTGCTGTATAACATCAGATGTTTTGCTCTTATCTAATAGGGAGTGACTGCTTTCTAAAGGTACAAGGACTAAATAGTTTATCCTCACTGAAATCTGTTTAGCCTATCCTAAACACTGGTGACATATCATCTATTTAGTCTTCTCTTCCTTTCCCATCTCAGGAAGGGTGGGGGAGCACTCAGTATTCAAGACAAACCCTTCCTCACCTTTAGACCCATAATCTAAATGGCTGGTGACTCTGGATAAGTCCTTTAGCTTATTAAATGTTTTAACACATGTGCACCTGTGAAATCAAGTTTATATAATGTTGAGAAGACAGAAAGCAAGATGATACCCAAAGCCTGTTCCATCGTTTGGTTTTCTCCAATGCGCGTACTCCATCATTGATCTCTGGCTTTCTATTGGCTCCTGACACAGGGGTCTCAGCCCACTGTTTAACTGAATCCTGCTATCCATTCAATTTTCCTTCCTAATAATACTGTCTTTCTCAGCCACATTTCTCAAATTAGTGACTGATATCCCATTTTATTTCTCCACCTCCTCATTACATGACTCCTTCCATTACTCCCTGCAATCTGACTCCTAAACTGACTATTTTACTGAAACGGTATTTCCAAGAGTCATTCTCATTCTCACTGCCATTGAGTCAATGTTGACTCACAGCGACCCCCTGTGGATTTCCAATACTCTAACTGTTTGCAGGAGTAGAAAGCCAAAGTTTTTCTCCCAAGGAGATGCTGGTGGTATTGAACTGCTGACGATTCAGATCAAAACTCAACATGTAACCACTTCACCACCAGGACTCCATTATTAATACCTCAACTCTCAAATACAACAGCCTGCTTCAGTCTCCCAATTCCTTTGCCTTTCTGCAGTATGTTATATGAGGACTACCTCCTTGTCTTAAATTCTACTCTTGGCATCCTTAGCACAGTATATTGGTTTGTGCTTTTCCGCTGCTTTGATTTCACTTCTCTTTACACTTGGGCATTCTCCAAATTTATGCTGTGACTTTAACTCCGTTATTTTATTTGTAATTTAACTAATTTTCTTTGATTATCTCTAATATCTTGCTTTTAGCCATCAACTCTATTCAGATAACTGCATTCTAAATCGCTACATATTCTTTTGAACCACACATCATGTCGTCATTTTCAATAGCTTATTTACTATTTTGTGTTAATAAGCTTAAGGCTTTAATCTCCATATTTCTAAATGAACAGTCTCCCTTCTTTGAAACTGATACCTCTACCTCATCTAACTTTTTAAATGTCTGTTAATTGTTGGCAGGATCCAGAGTCATCCAAGTTCAAATCCATATTAATTTTATTTCAAAGTTCAGTTAATCTCATTTAATTCTAATTATAGATGTGCTGTCAGATAATTATAGAAAACGTGATGAAATCAAAGACATATATCATCCAAAGATAGTTCATTTTTAATATTAATATAATAAAATAATAACAACCTCCACCATTTTTAAGACCTTCTTCCTTGGTTTCTCTTATCAATGAATCTAGATACCAAATGCTACAAGTTCTTTATCAATGTCTTTTGCATCTGACATATTCTTTCTAAGTTTACATGAACTCAGCAAAGGTTTTCGAACTGTGTAAAAATGACCTGGGTGACCTAACAGTC